GGTACAGACTTCGACACTAGGGGCATGGCAGAACCCAGACACTGAGCAATCCTATTAGTAATCATACTAGCCATTTTTGACATGGCATGCGTCATAGGCTCAAATTGAGTAGCCTCATTTTTCTTCCCATTGGAAGAAGTCAAGTCAATCATAGGCCTCTTGGCAACAGGCAAACCCCTCATAAGTAGCGAATGAAGTCTTCAGTTTTTTCTCAACTGGCATCTCTTGAGCAGGTGAGGGATATCTCTTCTTTCCACCTTCATTCATATTAGGCTCCATGACAAGAATCTGACGAGCCAATGCATTCGTCTTGATCCTCTTTATCTCTTCTCTCAGAAACAGCCCACCTTTCTCCTGGCGAAGATGACTAAGCAGCCAACGCTATTCACGGTACTCAGCATGGGAGCTTAACCCATGTTGGTTTTTCCCTCATTTTTTCTCTCTAACCAGCAGGCAAGAGGCATGCATGCCCAGCATTCCAATAGCCCATGAGGCTTGTGACCTCCTTATTTTTCTCAATCGCCGACCTGGCCTGCGTCAGGTCTTAGAGCCTAAAGGACATGAGCCATACGGCTCGCCTAGCACTGCGCCCCAGCGCCGTAATCCATGGCCCCAACTGCATAGCTGTCCTTGACTTTAGCCAAACAGAGCAGCCCAAGTAGTAGTCCATGCCATAACACCTCATCAGTCCATGCCGAGCCAACTCTTGGCCCCTGCCAGTCGACTTGCCGCACTCCCCGACAGCTGCCCCACGACAACACTATCCAAGAAGAAGACAAGGAAATTTTTTTTTCTTACCTGAGGTCATTGAAATGGAGGATATGGAGATAGCAAAAGGGTTCTTGAGGGTTAGGGTGATAGTAAACGATGAGAACTCACTGGTAACTAGTTACTAAGGAAGAACAATAAAGATATATGGATAGAATTTCAATATGAGAAAATGCAGGAATTTTGCTATCGATGTTGAAGGATCGGGCATGTGAACTCCGATTATCTTCACGAACCTAGCAAAGGAGGCTCTGCGGGTTATGGCAAATAAACGAAGACGAACGAGGTGCGAGATATCCTGGATACGACGAAGAGGTTGCACAATCCCCCCATAAGAATAACAAATTGGAAAGAAGAACAAATTAGGAGCCGAGGTTTTGCCAAAAATGAGCACTGATGAGGAAAGCTTTCGAATCGTAGAGAGATAATGTTTTGAAAGAAGAGCCTTAGAGAGAGATGTTTAGAAGGGGAACGACTCTTGTGTGTGGAAGAGGACCTGCAAGATGTTTTGATAGCCCATTATAATCTATGAGACTGCCTGAAGGAACTTGATGAGGCTCGAAAGAACTTTATGAATGGCCTTATCAGCCCTAAAAGAGTTAATTGTACTAGTATAGCCTTGGTCCCAAAAATTCCAAATCCGGAAACACTTGCTCAATTTTGGTCGATGAGCCTATGCAATTACTCATATAAAATCTTGTTCAAGATCTTGGCCAACCAACTCAAGCTTTTACTGCCAAACCTTATTTTGCCTTTGCAACATGCGTTTGTTGTTGGCCGTCAGATACAAGATAGTATAATTATTGCCCATGAGATCTTTCATTTTTTTTAAATGCGATAGGCAAAAACCAGATTTAAGTTGGAGATAAAGCTTGACATGAACAAAACCTACGATTAGATCGAGTAGGACTTCTTGAAAGAAGTGATGGTTTGGTTGGGGTTTGACCCAAGGTGGATTAATTTGATTATGGGATGCATCTCATCAGTCAACTTCGCTGTTCTGGTTAATGGTCAACCTGGTAAAAACTTTTTCCCCTCCTATGGTCTAAGGCAAGGGGACCCCTTGTCTCCATAATTATTTTTAGTAGTCAGCGACGTCCTATCTTTATTAATCCAAAAAGTAATGGAATCAGAGTATCTCGAAGGCATCAAGATCAGTACCTACAACCCATGTATTTCTCACATCTTTTTTGCAAATGACATGCTCATTTTCCTCAAGCCAACCCAGCAAAACTGCTGGAACATGGTTCAAATCCTACAGTCAAACTGCACGGCATCGAGGCAACATATCAGTTTGCAGAAGTCTGGTATTTTTTTTGGTGCAAATATGCCTTGTGATCTGGGTTCAGAGTTGGCAGGTCTAGGTATATAACAAGTAAATGACCCAGGTCTTTATCTTGAAATTCCCTCAAACTGAGGCAGGTCTAAATGCCATGCACTCGCATATGTTAAGGGCCGGATTCTAGGAAAGCTTCAAGGATGGAAGCAGAACCTTCTCGCCCCGGTTGGCAAAGAAGTTCTTATTAAAGCGATGGCCCAAGCAATTCTGACTTACCCGATGAATATCTTCAAGGTCATGGTTTCCATTTGTAAAGATCTCAACTTCATGCTTACCCATTTTAGGTGGGGTTAGAAGAATGCCGAACGCAAGATTTCATTGGGTTGGGTGGGAAAAGTTGGGCTATCCGAAGAATGATAAGGGTTTGGGGGTTTTAGTCTTTCAAGAATTTAAACTTGGCGCTCCTGGCTAAACAATGTTGGAGGACAATTTATGAGCTTAATGCCCTACGAGTGTGATTTTTGAAGGCTTGATGTTTCCCCCATATTTCGCCCTGGGCTTGGGCCAGCCTTCTTAAGGGCTATAATATCATTATGGGAGGAGCCCATTAACAGGTCATGAATGGGAAGAATATTAAACTCTGGGTGGACCGATGGCTGCCCGCACTTCCTACGGGACAACCAAGCCCTTTAGTAGGTGTTCAGTTTAACCAAAACCAAACAGTGGACTCCTTAATTTACCAACAATCCTTCTCATTGAACTTGAAGCAAATCAGACTAAGCATTATTTCAGCGGATTACTTAGCAATCCTTGAAACCTGCATTGGTGTTTCTCGAGGTTGTGACTGCCTGATTTGGCCTTGGGTTAATGCTGGCATGTTCTCGGTGCGCTCGGAGTACCATTGGAAACGTTCCCATGGGGTGCCAAGTACTGCGTGGTCTTCCTCCATACCTCGACAAATGGGAGAGTTCAGTTAGAATGAGGTATAGAAGATGCATGTTCCACCAAAGGTTAAGTCTTTTTGGTAGAGGGCTCTTAAAGGTGCACTGGCTACCAAGTTGGCCATGTTCAAGCGTTTTTCCTCCTTCTCTATGAGCTGTCCTATTTGTAATAGGGAAGATGAGTCTGTGGAACATATGCTTCTTGTTTGTCCAAAGGTTGGGCCTATTTGGTTTGGAGGCTCTCTTAACTATCGGGTTCCCAAAACCCAAATTACTTCCCTTAGTGGTTGGCTTCAAGCAATGGCTTCAATGCAGGTGGAGAGCAAAGAGGAGAGAGGTAGGGTGTTATTGGTGATAGGTTTTACCTATTAGCAATTTTGGAAGGCTCTCTGTGCTGCGACTTTCGCTCAAAAACCTCCCACTCTAAACCAGGTTATTCACTCTATTACCTGTTGGTAGATAAGGAACATTTTAAGGCTGCTAATCTTAGAGCTCAGGTTCCTTCCTATCCCAGTGTTATCCCCAACATCCTAATGCTACTTGGACCCCTCCTCCTCTTCCTTTTCGGCAAGTTAATGTAGATGATAATTGGTGTGCAACAACGAGGATAGGATTCTTGGGGATTGTTATCAGCGATCACTCTAGGTGTTTGTTGCAACTTGGCGAAGCCCAATTTTGGCACCCTTGATGTTGGTTGTGGAGGCACTGGCAGTGGCTAGGGGTTGTTTCTTGGCTCGGGAACTAGGGTTTCCTAATATAGTGGTTGAATCTGTTTATACCATATTTAGGGCCTCGTATTTAGATCTCGTACAAATACTCGATGGACTTAAATCTAATTATGTGATAAAGGAAGGGGCAAATATGTAATAAGTGAGGAGTCCTTATTCTATAAAAGGACCCCTCACCCTCACAATTAGGGGAGGCCAATTCCTAAGCCTTCTCACCCCTCTCAAATCCCTCACTCTTATTCAGAGCTCTCTCTCCCTCACTTCTCAGATAAATACATAATCAGTGTGGATGTAGCCCAAACCTTGGGGTGAACCACGATACATCTTGTGTTATTTACATTACTTGCAGATTCACTGTCGGATTTACGTTGTTCCAAGACCTCCAGTTTTGTGCATCAACAGAATCAAATTCGAAGGAGGTTATATCCTCTCTGTCGGGCCCGATTCACCTTGGCAGCTAGGAGGCTTTCCCGACCCTTGCGAGGGTTGTTCAGCTGGGAGAGTCCTTTCAAGCCTGTCGTTAATCTTAGGCTCCAAGAATAGCGAATTTGGCTACAAACATGGTTACATCGAGATCGTTTCAAGAGATGGATGCTAGCACTTGGGTCATGAGACCTCCATTTTCTTTGGTGCATGTTCTCAACTACCACGGTCTACCTTGTCCTCCTTCTAGTTAGTCCCCCTGGATTGTTGAGTGGTGATGCTATGCACTCAATGTAGTGTCTAGGGCCTGGTTTGGTACTAAGGTGATTCTGAAAAAAGCTAGTATAAAAAAAAGCTGTGAGCTTTTTTGTGTTTGATAAACATTCAACTTCATCTTTTTTTTACAGTTTTGGGTGAAAAAAGCCAAAAACAAGAAGCTACAAAACCCAGCTTTGAAAAACCAGCTTTTTTCACATCTGTTTTACATAAAAGTTTAACAAACACTATAATACTGCCTTTTTTTTCAAAAGCATTTTTACAAAAAAGTTTACCAAACACTCTACAGCTTTATTTCACGGCCGCTTATTCTCACATAACAGCAGAAGCAGTTTTTTCAAAGCACAGCAATACCAAACCAGCCCTAGGTCTTTTTATCCCTTCAAGAATCCAGTTGTTGTCTGTATTATGTTATGCTCTCTGTTAGCCACGTGTTTTCGACTTTCCTTGTACTCAATTGGCGTTAGCCCTAGCAATGAATTTACCAATTTCACAAAAATTAAAATTAAAATCTAACCTCATTGATTGTTTCACTCTTGTATCTCCCATAAGAAAATAGGAAGAGCTTCTAGTAGTAAGAGCAAGATATCAAATATAATACATTTGATACCTTCAGACTTCAAAGTAGTTACAATCCAAAGTTACATAACTTTATTTAACATTCTTATCTAATTATTAGCCAATGCATGGACTACACGTTTACCGATCTACACATAAAGTATAAAAATATACAAATAAACACACACATTTATATAGCGAGATACTAGAGAGACCAAAATTTTAAATTATTTTTTGTAGACCACGTGATGTGCCCGTTGATGATTGGACTCCCTTTTTAATGACCTAAAGAAGGAATACTCCAACCATGAACCACCACATTATATGAACTACAAAAAATAATCTAAAAATTTGACATTCCTAGCATTTTCCTCTATATATAATGATTTACAAAAATTAAAGCCGGATCCAAACCGAACCAAACCGTGGCTCGGGCAACTTGATGCCCACCTCGTAATTTACTGTCTAAGGTCTATGCATCTTTGTCTTGGTTGAAGCAGTATGCAGGTGCTTGAGTGACTGTATCTGGTAACACTGCACCAACCTCAAATGTCATTACCTGAGAAGATATTCCTACAAAATAATCATACAAATCATCAGCAGTAACATATTGATGACTATTCTATCCAAAAAAAAAAAAAAAAAAAAACATATTGATGACTATTTATTTGAGTCAGGTTAGTTAATTTGTAATCTAAAAAGTTGCATTAAAATCAATACTTCATACTAACAGTCTAATAACATAACAAATCAAACTGTCAAACAAGATAAAATATTTTTTTTTCAAAAGTTAAAGCAATTTAATCGATATAACCGTTGATTTCGAACTCCCAAAATATAATTGCTAGGGAATTAAGAAGAAGGGCATACATACCATCATAAAAATCCCAACGAACTGGCCTCTTAGTGTAAACATCCTCATAGTACCAAATAAAATCTACCTTCTCCCACACATTGCATAGAAACCCATCAGTGACTTCCGTCCCAAGATACTCAGCTCCGTCAAGAAAATCGGGCCTTGGAATGCCGACTTCAAACTCCATAACCTCACAACTTCCGTTGTCACCGACGGAGTAGTAAAATGATGTGCCGTTGTTCCACTCTATGTCGTACAAAACCTCACCCAGCTGCTTCTGAAATATGTTGACGTTCCTACCTCTCGGCCAGTCGTACCAGAGGTCGCTGAGCTGGAGGTGTGTTGTGGTCAAGTTCATGAATAGAAGTGCATGGAATTGCAGTGGCCATGGCGACGGTGTTGGGTTCGAGTTTGAGCAAGTCAGGAGCTGTAGTATTATGCAGGTTGTTAAGCATAGTTGCAGTGGTAGTTTGAGCTGCTGCATCTTGTTTCTCTATCTCTCTCTCTCTCTCTCTCTCTCTCTCTCTGTGTGCTTCTTGTGGTGATGTTTATTAACTTGTTTTGAGAGGGATAAAACACAACTGAACTGAGCGGTTGAGAAGCAAAGGCAATAGTACTGCACCTGTCCCACCTCATATGTAACTATAGCTTCCTCTATGCATAACATATGTATGTATAAAGTTCTCATTTAAGGGACACTTTGTTTGCTAGGGGTACTGATACATTGTTTTTACCGACGATTTTGAGAATATGCGACGACCTCTTTCATTTGAGATGTTAGATTAATCTAACGGTAGCTAAGCTTATTATCTATAATAAACCGTGTTGTACCTAAACAAATTGTCGGCACGGAACCAATTAACAAAAATGGACGTCGATCCCTTCCACTCAACAATCCTTTCTCCACCTCAGTTTTTCTTATTCTTTTTCTTTCTTTTTTTCGCCTACTAAAAATAAGGGCCGATTGGGATTTTCCATCGTCTTCGTCCGAAAATTTGAATTCTTGAATTGTTGAAGCAATTTCCAAAACCCAGGAATCCCCAATCTCAATCTTGTGGAATTGGATTACACGGATTTGAAAATTGTTGACTTTGTGGAATTGGATTGGCTGGAATTTGTGGAATTGGTTTGTAAAGTTATTAGGTTTTATGTAATTGGATTGTTGGCCTTCTCTGCTCTGGTTCATTCAAATTGTATTTTGTTGAGATACACGACGAAGACGACTGGGCTTTGTAGATGGAGGGATATGTGAAACCTCCTCCTCTGTTTTTATCTTCTTCTTTTTTTTTAATTTTTTTTTAATCAATTGATATTTTGTTTAGGTGTAACATGGAGTATTTAAAGTAATAAGTCACTTCGTACTACGGTCTAATGGTATTTTTCTTCACTTGTAAGTAAGGTCTTAGGTCGATTCTCATCAAATGTGAGTTTGAACCACAATATTACTAACTCATTGTGAGACTAAGACCACCTCTTCCCCAAAAAAGTAATGAACCTAGCTATCGTTAGATTAATCTAATGACTTATATAAAAGAGATCCTCACAGGTTTTCACAGTGAGGACCTTATGTGAGCATTACTGTCCTTCTTGGTTGTATATAGGTCCTCTATGTTGAGGAATTATATTCTATTTCTATGAATTTGTTATTGTTGAGTAGTTATGTTTTTTAGCGTATAGTAAGGTTTGATTTGAGGTCCTAGTTTGACATGCTTGTCCTATATCTTCAATATAAGTTCTTGATCATTATTCTTTATAAAGTTTGATTTCATGTCATAAGGGACACCATTAATGATTTAATTTCATGTCCTTCATCAATCATCTTTCTTGCAAAAAGTATGGCAAATTCAAAAGAGGGATGATTTTCACATGCATTTTTTAGTTTCTCACACAACTACGTATTTATAGTCATCAAATTGAGTAGATTAAACGGAAACAACATACATTATTAAACATGAACGTGTAAGAGACCAAAACTAATTGTGTTTATAATTTATCATCCAAAACAGTTATGAAATTATTCTGGCCAAAACAAGTAGGCAAAATAATATTTCAAGAAAATACTATAAGTGAGTGGATGAATGACTTCAGGTTTTGTTTAGCTTCTTACAAGATTTTGGAGTTTCTTTTAAGGAAAGCAACAATAAGACCTAGGAGTTTGGGAACGACCGATTCTTAAATCAACCGTATTGAAGAAAGTTGAGATTTCATCATAAAATAAATAGACAATATGAAGAGTAGCTCAACTACTTATAAACACATGCAATGTCCCTCTTCTCATCAATGTGAGGTTCATTCTTAACACGCCACCTCACGTGTGGCGAATTTTCAAGCCTAACACGTGAACAACACAAAAGAGTGACGTGGAATGAGTGTGACCGTTAGACTTCACACGTGAGGCAACCTGCTCTAATACCATGAAATTTCTTAAGGGCTTTAGGCATGTGCTAGCTAAGAATATCAAACTGCATACATTTGCCCCTGAATTGAAATTTGAAAGGCAAATCATGCTCCATTTCATGCACTACATATATTGTTCAAATTTAAAAAGGAAACCTCAACAGCAATATACCAAATCATGGCTCAAAAGCTGCGTAAACGCTGTCGTAGACTAGGTAGGATAAGCATTCCAGACCATCCCATATAGGTAATATGTAACTCTACATGGTTAGAAGAATCTAGATCAACTGGGTACTTGTATACTCTCCAAGAACAAAGGAAACACTGTCCTTTATTGGTAAATATTACTACATCAATTATTTCTACCAAACGAAAAACTCGTTATCCTACTTTGCATGCTTACAATACCGACTGGAAAAGCATCTCCGCAAGTTCCTGAAACAAACCCCACAACCTGATATTACAACGTATCTTAAACAAAAATAATGAATTACTAGGATTGCACCGAGAGTATGTTATCATCCAGATTTTCATGTTCTCCTCATAACTAGTAGCAAGCTTTACATGTGCTACGAATCCTTTTATTCGTCCAAAAATGAATTTTATTTTTTTTCTCTATCGTTTCTCAAGGAAGCTGAAATACTGAGACAACTTCAGGAGACAGCAGACATAATAAGAGCAATTTCATTTTAGACATTTTTTTTTCTTTTATCTTTTTCACACTTCTCAGATCTTCCATCGCCTATTTAGATTTTCATCGCTGGTTTTAGAAATATGTATGGTCACCCAGAATGCAGAGATCATGATACAGACATAATAAGAGCAATATGATTTTAGACATATTTCTTAATATATATCCGAAGGCGTCAACTCTTTTGTTTCGATTATTTCTATTATACATGCATCTGCAGTGCCAGTATTGAAGCAAATTTTCTATGATTGTTTGGATATTTGATGCTAGGAGCTCAAATGAATGTTTCTAAGCCAAGTATTACCTGCTTGGAAGAAGGAACTCTCGGTTCACCCCATCCTATGGCCTTCTTCTCAAGATACTCAAAATCAGCCTTACCGGCCTGTTGAAGGTGCATTACCATGCATTAGCCATCTAGGCCATTTAAACCTACAAAACTAGACATAGTGTTCGAAAGTGGTTACCTCTATAAGTGCCCCAATTTCTGTATCGAAACTTTCATATCGTTTGCGAACAAGCTCAGGCAGAGAACCATCCTTTGTAATTCAAAAATGAAGAGACATGGTATCATGATTAGCAAGCAGAAAACCAAAATCATAATTCATTGAGAAAGAGGAAGTCAAGCGCGGTGCACTACCTCAATCAGCTTCGCAACATTACGGAGGCCACGGGCCAGGGTATCCATTCCGCTGATATGAGCAATGAACAAATCCTCAACATCTGTGCTTTCCCTCCGTCTAAATATTGTTTAATAAGAAGGAAAAAAGAAACAATATAAGAAAACTAATCTACCAGCATAAAAAGGATAATGCTAGGGAGACCAAATTTTTAAACCAAATGGTGTGGTGGTTGATGATTGGATTATTACTTGGTTTGCGAATTTGGTTTAAAAATTTGGTCTCCCTAGCATTATTTGCATAAAAATATCACAATATATGCATTCACAATAAAATGGAAAGTCAATATAAGGAACTGACAATTTTGCATCAAAGTTGAATCCTCCTGGTGCTATTCCTCCCTGAGATAAAGAGAGAACAGATATAGATAAGCTCATGAAATTGGATGCCCGACCAATCACAAATTTTTAAAACTTAAAACAAGAAGCCGAAATTGATGTCATTTGTGACATACATTCTTTACTACACTGTGCATAACCAGAGTCGCCTCTGCAATATCTGTGAGAAACTGATCTGTATCCCAGCCTGCGACAGTGACAAAATCACCGTATTACAACTTTCATTCACATATAGTTTCGGTTACAAAAAGATTTGAAGTATTACAATAATCCTACCAGTCTGAGGATCTCCAGTGTTTGCATCAACGTTTCCTAGTAGACCATTGAGTCTTGCAGTTTCAAGCTCATGATAGCAACTGCAAAGTACACAAGAATTACAGATTTGGCGAAGGATTTCAAATTTTCTGATGTGCTCACACAACTCGAGGGAGAAATATAACGTGAACGTTTGCTTATGAAGAACTTAAGGCACAAGCTGTGATTTACCTGTGACCAGATAGTGTGGCATGATTGCACTCAATAAAAAGGTCGTACCCAGTGCACAAGGCTCCTGCTTTACGCAGGGTCTGGGAGAGGTGAATGTCGACTAGCCTTACCCCCATTTTATGGAGAGGCTGCTCCCAAGTCTCGAACCCGAGACCTACCGCTCATGGGCGAAGGCACTTGCCATCGCACCAAGTGCGACCTCTACATGATTGCACTCAATGTTAAGCTTAAATTCTCCTACAAAAGAAATGGGATGACGCTGTTAAGTATAACTCCTTTAAAGTAAGAAAACTATATATGATTGAAAAATAGTTCTCAATATCTCTGCTCTTCCAGTTCAATTGAAAGAAGGCTAGCACACTATTGAGCAAAACTTTTACGTAAAGAATTCAAATAAATGGACTACAAAATGACATGTCACCATGAATGCAAAAACCAAATATAAAAACACTTATTGTATTGTATAAAATTTCACAACTCGTCTCATTCATATAGCCAACTTTGGAGCTTAACCAAAAACTAATAGTAACAAAGTCAAGTGACTCGTGAATATAGAGGGTATGTGTAAAATTCACCTATGAGGCCATACTTTCGCAGGAAATTTGCTGATGTTGCAGCATCCCAGTCATACCTAACAAAATCATGAGAAAACAGATGTGTGAAAACCATATTAAATTACTAATAATCAAGCAAGTAGCATACTGGTGTTTGGTAGGTTCTTGAGGCTTGGGTTCAATCAACAATGTCCCTGAATGGCACAGAAAGGAAAGAAAAACATACGCTCGCCTGAGCAAAGTAGTGGATACCAAAAGAATAACAAATAAAGATTGAAAAGAAATGTTGAGAAACTAGTCACTCTGGTATAAAAGTAGAAGTTGAGGTTATAACAGTATCTGGTATAAAGCTTTAGTATAAATTTAGTGCAAGTATACCATTGAATCCAATTTTCTTCTTGTAGGCAACAGCAGCTTCAAGAAACCTTGCCTGTGAATATACATACAAAAGATCATGCTAAGTAAT